TGCAAGGATGGAGAGAAAATCTCTGGAGTCTGGAAGTCGTCGTCTTCAAGGAGTAATTGCAGGCTTGCAGTTCGCTGATAGGTACTGCCTGTGTCTCGTGGTTTGGGATCTGGCCTTGGCTTATTAAAATTCTTCTGAACTCTACCTTGGAATCTAGAGTGATGCACTGTAAAAGAAATACAAGGGAAAGAATGATCAAGACAATACACAAATGTCATTAACTGGAGGGGAGGTTGTAGAAAACTAGAATTTCTGCAACAGTTCTTCTGTCTTTTAGGGGTAAGAGGGTTGCAGTGTGGCTGCCCACTGGTCCTCACATACCGATCCTCTATGTTGATCAGGCTCCAGGGTTGGCTTACGTATTTTTCATAGGTGGAAGATTGCCTCCCAAAACAAACTAAATGCAGTTCCAGAAAAAAACCATTGAGTTTTTGTATGTGAATGCTGTGTGGGTTAGGGGAGTGCTTATACGTAGGCTGCTGTTTCATAGTTCTTGTATTAGATACCTTCTAAATAAATCTAGAGAAGGTCGTGTGTTATTCCCTTCCTTTCCCCCTGCCCCGAGTGGTTACTGTTTGGTAAGTAGGACTGATGGAACTTCATATTTTAAAAAATTAAGTACAAGAAAATATTTTCTGCTTTAAAATTTTTGTCCATTTAAATGCAAAACAACATCTTCCTCTACCTTAGTCATCTTGCACCATTCTGTCTTTTTAGCTCAAAACTGCTGAGCATATGCATATTTCTGTACTGTGGATAAAACAATCTGGTCTGGTGTGCTAACCTGTATCAGAACTGCCAGGCTGTCACCGACAGCAGAATTTTCCTAACGCCTTTGAAACATTTGTCCTCCAGAAAGTCAGGTTGGTATTCTCAGAATATTCCAGCGAACAGTGACTTGAAAGCCGAATCACAGACACAAATTTTCACAATACAGCAGTTAAAAAAATATTAATATTAACCATTACTGTTCCATTTACCTTATGCATGTTGTACTTCAGCATGCAATACGTGCTGATATTGCGATATGAATATGTATCATTGACATTTTAACGGTCCTGAGAAGTGAATGATATGAAATGTAACAATGAGCATACTAGTTTATTTCCACAGTGAAGACCAATGTATAGACATATGTGAAGATATGTGTGCCTGTGTTTAGGTATTCTATATAAATATACAAATAACAGTTTATTTATGTATGGGCAGGTGTGTAAAGAACACGTCTCGGTATGTGTTGTATGCAGATAAAAGTGCTTGAGCAAGTGAACACTAAATATTCACCAATAAAAGCCAGCTGTGGAACTGAGTAGAAATCACAGAAAATGTAGTGGGTTTTTTCAGTTTTAAACCAAAATGAAGCTAGTAGTGATAATTTTGTCAGAGTTGTTTCCTGAGATCTGGAGCTGATGGAGCAAAGCAGCAAATGTAAGAATTGAAAGATTCGTTGACAGCCATAGGTGCCCTAAGAGCACTCTCCTCCCCTCGTCGTGTTCTGATGTCAGAACATAAATCTTATGCTCTGTCCAACTTTTTGTTTCATCAACAACACTTTTGCTTCTTAGATCTCTTCTGTAATTATGATGGGTTATTCCATGCTTTGTTTGCAGCCCTGAACTGTCTGCTGCTAAAGATCTCCTGAGTTTCACACCAAAGACAGCTCAATTTCAGCAGCAGAAAAAGTGCTACTTGCATCCTGCATGTAATTTTGGCCTGGTTTAGTGTCTGGCTAAATAAGGTATACTGAACTGCACTGTAATAGAATCTGAAGGTGATGTTCGAGTAAGCTGGGAGCTGCAGAGTATATCGCTAAGGGAGAGATTGTTTGCAGGAACTTGCAAGAGAACTGCACAGAAGATTGCACCCCGTTTGAAAACGCTTGCTCAGGTTGTCAGAGTAACTCTCAGGACGGAGGAGCACAAGCTTCCCTTGGTCTGGTACACCTGACTGAAATCAGGTGATTGCAATGAGGCATAATGACACCCAGTGTTGTAGCCGTGACTACGGAGGAATGCCATTTAAGGGACGAGCAATGTAAAGTACAACTGTTGAGTCTGAAGAACAGGCCATGAGCCCAGGCTTGCTGAAAAGAACTGGGAAGGGGGATGGTGAGGCACCGGCCACAGCACTAATTTTGGCACCAACAGAGATTTGAGCTGGAAGCAACAATGATTAATTACATATTTAATAAAAAAAAATTCACCCTCACTACACAAAGGTTTGCCATCACTTATGTATCACATTATGCAGCCAATCAACTGAAAGGCTGAAAAGCAGTACTTTGGAGAAAAATGGCTCTATGAGCTATTTCTGGAATGCACACGCATGGGATCTGGATTGGAGAGCAGAAGGTTAATCTGACACTGCTCTTGTGAGACTCCATCAACGCGCTATATTCATTGCTGGATGTCTTCAAAAGATGCTAAGAAATGGAAGGACTTTTAAATAAACAGAAATAAGATTAAAAGTGGAAGGATTACCTAGTAAAGCAACATGCTAAATAATTTAAATCATACAGCTTGCCTAAAGGAGAAAGGGAAGGATCTACAGTTCTGTGCAGAGTATAAAATACTTGGCAGTAGTGAATGAGCTATGATATTTCATCTGGATATAAATATTAACTTCTGGAAAGAGTTAAGGATCAAGAAGGTGTCTCTCAAGGGCTCCTGACAATCATTTATTGAATTATGCGATACAGTATATGAAAAGAGGTGGTTGTTGGTATTGGCGTTTAAATGTACCCCCTTGAAGAACTAAAGCAATCCTATTATGTGAGTCAACTAGATGACCTAAGAGGTCAGTTCTGTGGTCATCACCAGGATTCTACTCTATACGTCATATAATTCTCGACCTTCCAAAATACTTTGTATGTTAGAATTGCCCCCCTGTCGCTTAATCTGTTTATCATGTATGCTTTCTCTTTCTTCACCAGACATACTGGCTGTTAATCGGGTTCCTTGCAAGTTTTTCCTTGCAAGTGGGCAGTTTTCATGTGTTCCCAGGTCTGTGTGTTCAGCTATGTAATATTTCATAACAAGTGATAAAACTACTGACGCGTGATTTGCGCCAAGTTAGGTTGATAAAGCACTTCAGGTATACTTAAGGGGTGAAATTAAAGACCACCTTACACTAAAAATTTAGTCTGAAGTCCAGACTCCTTTCTCTGAAGTTCAGAGATTCTTGAATTTAGATAGTTTTGATTCAGGTACAATATAGGAATGAAATTGTCCCTGCTTATTCAAATTAATTGTTATTAGAAATTCTGAAAGAAAAAAAGTGCATTTTTTTTTTCCATTCGAGTGCTCCCTTGGATTTGCCTAGAGATCTGTTTCAGCAGAGACCCGGTGAAGTTCAGGCAAGCTCGGGTGTGTTTTGGGTTCCCTCGGGAGCACAGAAGTGCCCAGCTCCCTTTTCCTTCGTGCTGCTGGGAACAGGTGGCCCCTCCGGGGTCATCAAGTATATTTAGGGCTGAAACTCGAGCAGGCAGGAGCCAGATTGGCTGTGCGTAATTACACGCGTAATTAGGTGCCGGTGCACCAGGCTCGCTCTCGCCCAGTGCTGCTCAGGAGGGAAGACTGGAGAGGCTTTGCTCCCAGGGATATTTACTAGATGTTGCTGGTAAGAACAATTTAATCACATTTGACTTTTTTTCCTTAGAATAGGATCTTGAGCTGTTTCCTGACTCCATAGTTCTCTGGGAGCAGTAGTCGTGCCTTGTTCATGGAAGTCAGACTTTTTGCCTGGCTGGCTAGTTGCAAATCGCAGTCAGAGGGAAGAACCTGGAACTGAACTTTATAATAGTGACAGTCTGTATAAGTTGTATCCTTATATGCAATCCCTACTTCTTGGGCTTGTTCATAAACTTTGGCCTGCTTTTTCACACCACATGCCACTTATTAATTGAGCTATTCTTCATTTATTTTAATAGTTAACATTCTGGTTTAAAAAATTGATTTTTTTTTTTTTTTTGTTTATTTTTCTCAACACATTGGAACTAAAAAGGGACAGTATTCTATGTTCCTATATTTAACCTGCATTACTAGACTTCACTTGCCTCAGAAGGAATTGCAGTTTAGCCAGCTAAACAAAACCACCCTGTCGCTTGGTAGTATTAGCTTACACGGCAAATATCTCTGGACTCGGGAGCAGCTGTTCCAAAGCCTCATCCCCTACCAACATTAGAAACAGGGCTGTAGTCTGGGACGGAAAATTGTAGCTTTGCCTCACAGCAAAATCACTGTGCTAATTAATTCTTTTAAAGGTTTTGACAGTAACCTGTACTTTGTAATTCAGCCAACTGTATGGATATTCATATTTTCCAGGTCTGAAGAAATAAAGGTAAAAAAGCCACAAGAGCTAAAAAAAACCCCACAAAACAGAGCATCTATATAGGCTAATGCTGGGAAGACAGAAATTGCCTCATTAACCAAAGGTCACTTCAAAAAATACTTACAATCCTTGTCTACATTATGCTTTTACTTGTGAATGAATGTATTGGAATATACAGACAGATAAAGCTCCCCTTAACACAGGAGCTTGGATAATGTAATGAAATAGTATAGAATAGTCACAGGGAAAAGAAAAATTCTTCAAATAATTTTGTTGTAATGAAAAAAATCAAATCATGCTTCAAGAAATCTCTTCCTCTGACTTTTTTCTTTTTCATTTTCATTGAATTCCAGTATTGATGTCACAACTATTAGAATAAAATATTTATCTAAAATTAAATTTTATGCTGGTATATTTGAAACTTAATGCAATGTTTTCCCATAATAGTCAGAAGTAATGCCAGAGCCCAACTTTAGTTCTCCCTGTTGTTCCAGTTCTTTCACTAATTAGCTAACAACATTGTAATAATAGTTACTAACTGTTATCCAGGCGCTTTATGAATTTGACTAGTAGCTTTTCGTAATACTTTCACTCTTGGGCTAATACTGTGTATTCACTTTTATCTGCTGCGTGACCAGTGAGTGGGGGAGAGACAGAAGAATACCCTCAAAATGGAGGAAGAAGAATATGAAGAAGTTGTAGAGGTAAGAAGAAAATCTGAGAGTCGAAACATTTGTTTCCTGCCTTGTGAATGAATATATTGATTGCTTGAATGAGACGTTGCTCATGAACAGAGATGGTTACTTGCTGTTTGCCCTCTGAAGATTAGGGTATGGATAAATATCTGTTAAATGGTTTGATCAGTAAAAAAACAACAGCATAAAAAAAAATAGTTGCTCAATGGAGCAAAATCTCTCTGGTTCCTGACACAGTTTCTCTGTTTAAATAAGGATTTTAACCATCCCGCACCCCCATCGCGAGGTTTCGTGGTTACTCTTCTGCATAATTATAGCCGCAGTGGTCCATCTCTCTTCCCTCCTGGCTTGCCCTCTGTCATCCAATCCATGCTAGAGAGGATGACTTTGGAAGCCCCTTTCCACCCTCGCCTCTGTGCCCACCGCAATGGAGAAGTCCAGTGGTTTTGTGCCGCCAAGGCACCGTTAACCAATTTAGCCTCAGAAGCGGCAGCGATGGAGCTAGATTGAAACCTGGAGACGTCCGTGCAGTTGCATCAGGGATTAATTTGGCGCTAGGTCATTTAAACTCACAGTTGTATGCCTAATTATTTAGTCTCAGCAATTTCATTAAAAGAATCCCCAGGAACTGTACAGCTTACTATTACGAGCGAGTGCTGTTGGAATAATGACTTTGCTACTGAAACAGCATAGGAGGTTAACAAACAGTGTGGTCTTACCTGCTGCATTATTATTCTTCTGAAATGGTGTGTTATGAAATACATAAGTGATTATAACAAATTGCTCGGTGTTTGTCTGAGGAAAAGACAACGACAGGACAAACGCAGACATCCCACAAGTCATTATCTCCACCCTGTATTTAATGGACTGTTGATTTCAGGCTGTGTGACGGCATTGAGCCTTGACTGCTGACTTTATATATTTCAGATCATGAACGAAGTCAAGTCAAATGGTTTCCCAGTTGAATTATTTAAACGTGTTTTGGAAAATAAGTGTTACCATTCACGAAGTCCATGTGAAAGCCATTGTACCCGCTAGTTACAAAGACACCAGCCCTTTGTTAAGTTTTCTATTACCATGTTACTTGTAATTGCCTTTGTGCTTCCTGAGCGTCCTGTGCTCTCTGTAATAAATTGTGTATTTATTTGCTGTCACTGTTGATTTGTTGCTGCTGGCATTACAGTATGCTGGGCTTTTTGTCTACACAGCTCGGATTCATTCTTTGTTTTTAACTTTCACTGACCACCTTCCTGCAACCCCGTCCCTAGGAGAGGCCGAGGTGGTGCTGCTTCAGTAGCTTCCCTCGAGATGCTCACAGTGAGGAGTCAAAGAAACCAGGAACCGGAGCACCTGGCACAATTTCAAGGCAGCTTAAGCCTATCCAGAGTTTTCCTAACAAGAAATCCACTTCTGGATGAATTGCCTGTTTACAACTATAAGAAATATAGAAATGCAAAATATATAGAATATATATAGAAATATAGAATATATAGAATATATATAGGAATATAGAATATATACAGAATATATATAGGAATATAGAATATATACAGAATGTATATAGGAATATAGAATATATACAGAATATATATATATATATCAGAAATTCATCTTCCAAAAGAGTAGAAAATTATTGCAGAATAATGAGTGGCTGCGAAAGCACTGAGGGTTTTCAGATACTAC